CGGCCGTTGGAAAGAGCCACAATGGGGCTTCAAATAACGACAAATTTCACCCTGAAAAGGACAAGAAAAGAAAGATATATTGCGGACTGAAAGACAACGAAAAATAAATTCACGGGTATTGATAGGCTCTCGTAGATGAAGAGGACAGAATCGTGGATTACAGGGCACTCTAGACAACAAAAGCATTTCAAGCTAAAGTAATAGCAACACGATTCTATATTTTCGGTATTTCGATATCACACAGCCTAGCTTTAAACCACAACCCAACGTACTAACCGCCCTGTTGGGGCCAAACACAGCAGAAGGTATTTCGTTTTCAATAGGGGGTCAAACCATTGGACAAAGGGAGCTAACAAATAATAATAATGTCCTTATTCTAGTTACTACACACTATGTTTATGTACTTAGATACCCTTGTAACTGCGGGTAGGTAGGTTGTTGTACCCCACCAGGACATCACACAAGCGATAAACACCCTGTGACACAAAGTGCCACCATGCGCATGAGGATCACCCGTTGAGAGGTCCCAAAAACCCCTTTCAGCCGTTTATTCCATATCTATGATTAGGCCATACTTATGGCCCGGCTATATTCATTGCCACCCGGCAGAAGCCAGGGAGGGGCTTCAAATAACGAAAATTGCATCCCACAAGGGGACGACTTACAAATTACTGGTCCCTGCAGATGGAAGTGTGTTAAAGAGAGCAAACGTAGAACCACATCACCCTAGTCATAAAATGGCAAAAAGTAGTAAACGCGGTTGTTCAAATGCTTCTGTAAATGTAGTGTTTTGAATAAATGCAATTTTTGTACTTGAATATGTGTACATTTTTTATATTTTCATAAATTAAGATTTTTGAATATGAGTCGTCCTCTCGTGGGACATAATTTATTGTTATTTTAAAGCCCCACCCTGGCTTCTGCCGGGGGCCCTGAATATAGCTGGGTCATAAATATGGCCTAAACGGCTGAAAGGGGTTTCTGGGACCTCTAAACGGGTGATCTTCATTCGCATGGTGGCACTTTGTATCACCAGGCGTTTATCGATTGTGTGATGTCCTGGTGGGGTACAACTACTTACCTACCATGTTCTTAAAAAGTCGTCCCCATGTGGGATGCAATTTTTTGTTATTTTGATGCCCCCTCCCTGGCTTTTGCCGAGGGCCCCAAATATAACCGGGCCGTAAATTTGGTCTAACGGCTGAACAGGGTTTCCGGGACCTCTCCACTGGTGATCCTCATCGACATGGTGGCACTTTGTGTCACCGGGTGTTTATCGCTTGAATGATGCCCTGGTGGGGTACAACTTACCTACATGAAAAACAGAAGCTGCACAGACATAGTATGTGGATTGCCACAGTTGACTGACTGACTTTCTACCCCACTAGGACATCACTCAAGCGATAAACATCCGATGACACAAAGTGACAACATGTGGATGATGATCACCGTGGAGAGGTCCTAGAAACCGCGTTCAGACAATTGGCCATATTTATGGCCTGCCTATATTGCGGCCCCTGGCAAAAGCCAGGGTGGGGCTTCAAATAACAAAAAAAATTCGTCCTAAAAAGGACGAAAATAGTTAATGACGCACAGTTGACAGAAAGAGCAATAGAATATGATAAGACATGCAAAGTCACATTTATAGACCAGAAAAAAAAACATTTGTCAGGGTGCAAAGGAGTATGTTGTGGAACTGCTTGGGAAGATATGGAATTAGCAAACATCTAACTGGTGTGTGAGAGCTTATACACATCAAGTAAAAGTTGCATACGAACAAAAGCAGGCACATCGAAACCTTTTAAAGCAAAGTCAGGAGTAAGACAGGGATGTCTGTTATCTCCCCTGCTTTTTACAATATACATCTACAATACACAAAGAGAATCAAAGAGCGAAGAAAGGGATGATATCACATAATTTTGATTTGCAGATGACCAAGTAATAATAGCTGAAACAGAAGAGAGTTTACAGAACCATATACGCCAAGTCAATGCTAAGTGTGAGAAATATAATATAAAGATAAGTATTGATAAGACAGAGGTAATGGTAATGGGTAGATAAGAAGAAACCATATCAATTGAAGTAAATAGCACAGAGATAAAACAAACGAGCGAATTTAAATATTTAGGGTCATTTTTCACATCAGATGGAAGAATGGATAGAGAAAGCAAATCAACTTATGGCAAAAAATATTCATAAAAGATCAAAAGCGTAAGAAATTCGGAAAACAAATTAATGCATTAAGAAAAATAATTTACTAAATCAGAAAAAGCCAGTCTACTTCTTTGGTTACGTTGTGAGAAGAGGTGGGCAGAAGTTAATAGTGACAGTTGGGTGGAAGGTGGGCGGGGGCGGGGGCGAGGGTGATGTAAAGGAAGACCAAAACAGTATATGCTAGACAGTCTGGCATTAAAGCATGAAAGAACATCTGTGCCAGATACGATTGACAATATGCAAGATAGAAAGCTGTCCGTGTACATGATTGCAGACGCCAGACTGCATGTGACATCAGCTACCTAAGTAGCTCAATCTATTGCTTGATTGCCGAACCAGCGCCACAAGCTGAAGGTTTGAATTTTAACTAGCCTCATTTTTAAATGTCTCTCGTGCCTATGTATTTTTAGAATTCGTTATGCAGAAAACCCGAGTAAGTTTTCCAAGTCATAAAAATGTAATATATAAATGAAAAGTCAAAAGTACTAATGGTTTCCAATACTAAATATTGAATATTGAATTAAGAATCGACGTCACAGCACTCGGGAAACTCCCGTAAGTGCTCAGTCCCAATCTTCAGCAGCAAGCGAAGAGTTCCAATTTTGATGGTACCAGTAACTGTCTGATTGTATATCCGTTTCATCCTTCCCCTGTGTGCTCAGCGTCGGCCAGATCCTCTGGTAACTCCTCGCAGCGACATTCTCCTCAGACCGTAATGATCTATCTGTGCATCTGCACTGTTCACTCGTTCCCAAAGGACCCTACAATATCTAACTTGTCATACATCAATTCACCATCATGTGGTGCATAGCCGGCCAATCTATCTGCCTGCTTTTTTCCCAACACACCGGGATGACCTGGAGAAAATATCAAAAGGATGCTAACAACCCGGGACCTCTGATGTGATGCTTGCCACTCTCCACGAAGCATGCCTGTTTTCACCTTTCTCAACATGCTCTGTGAGTCAGTTACAATCACGGCATGTGTGTACAGCTGATTCTCAAGCCAGCGGAAGGCAGCAGACACTGCCTCCACCTCCATTCTCAAACTAGACGTTGTGATATCATAGGCACGGCTTTGCTGCACTCGGCAACGTTTATTCGCTTTTGCTATGAAACCCCATGCACTTCGTCTGCCCCTCAACGCAGAGCCATCTGTATAGATAATCACATTACTTGGGCGGAAATTGTCATGAATTATTTGTCGAACTTCTGATTCTGCAGCACCAGCTGGCCAGTTCCTGCACTCACGACCTTAAGTGATTAGAACCCTACACAAGTCTGAAACTTGTTCGGACATCTTGACCCACTCCTCTCCTCGCTCAGTTATCAAGCCTGCACACATGTCCGATTGTGTCTTCAGCTTGCGCCATCCAAAACCTTCGTCTTTTCAGTCTGTGACCCTTAGCTTTACCCAGGGCTTCGTGCAGGGGGTGCTTCTTGTCTGCAGCTACTCTGAGATATGACTTTGCCTGCAGAACTTTGAGCCATTCTGAAATAGTAGGCAGTGCAAGTATATAACGCATACATACTACCGGGGTATCTTCTAGCAACTATGAAGCTCTTTTAAAAACAGTGAGAAGGCGAAAAATGCAGTGGTACGGACATGTAATAAGATCTAACGGTCTCTTAAAAAATAATGCTACAACGTTCCTATGTGAAGGGGGAAAGAGGCAGATCAAGAGAGAACTGGACACAGAACTTGACCGACTAGACAGGTCTTAGGCGTGCAGCCATTCATCTGGCCGTCAAACGTGGAGGAAGCTGATGAGTCAACTGCATTAGGTGAGCCAGCGACACGCAGTGTAACGGGATGGTGATGACGATGGTTTCCAGGCCGTGATATATACTTGTGGTGCCGATCCAGCGAACTGCAAGATTTAAAGACATGTCGTGGGTCTCTCAAAATAAAACGCTAAACCGAAAATAAGCCCTCGTATGATTCTTTTAGGATGCTCGTAATATAAACTCAACCCAAAATATAAACCCAGGCTAAAAAATCGGCGACCGGGTCGCCCATTGGCTAGCCGTTAGACTTCGTCGCCGGTCCGGACAGTATTTGGGTCTGTCTCCTGTGATCATCGGCTCTGTGACTAAGTCGATGCGAACGCTTCGTAATGCCGGGATGCCGGGTTCGACCCCAGTTGAGGGCCATGCGCCTTGCGTTGGTTTCGACAGTGGTATCAAGAAAGCCGACAGTCTAGAAAGCAATGGCAAACTACTGGACGTACATTTGCATAGAAAAACCACACAACAGCCAGGGGTTAAGGTTGGTTCTGCAACATCCTGTAAAGGATACGCAACTAACCTAACCCCCTGTGATCGCATCAACACTGCAGGAGTTCTTTTCATAACTGTTTGGTGACGAGCAATGCTAAGGCATTTATATGGCACACACCAACATAACCTAGTCACAATCATAACCAAAAGCTTCCACCCTCCTTCCCCCTTTTTTTCCCTGTGCTATCTGTTGTAAACTGAACTCAGCCACACTCACCCACACTACACGCGCGCACGCACACACTTATAAACGCACTCACACAAAATTAGACGCTTACCGTATATATTCAAAATGTAGCATCTCTTATCAGCTTACTGTCCTAATATATACGGTAATTAAATACACACCCTGTGGCAGGAATACTCAGGTATTTTCCTTAATCACCTTACAATACCTGCATATGGAAGATAACTATCAGGGGGTAAAGGTCAGAGTTTGTGACCCCAGGGGGAAAGTACCAAGGCCTGGATAACTTTGACGTCTGCTGGAGAAAGACACCCCTCGCAATGGCGACACCAAACTTGTATAACTTCTCCATCGAGCAACGGCGCCAGGAAGAATTCCCACAGCTCAGAAGTAAGTTAAAATATGTTTGTCTTCTTTGTTCGTCATCGAATCCTTTAATTAAAGAATTCTCCTGCAATTAGATGTTGTCTGAATGGCGCTCAAACGTATTCGATGTCCTCGGAGCAGGATGAGCTCCATTGAAGCTGAAATTATTCTCATTGATTCTCACCGCACTTGAACACTCTCTTAGTTACTATTATGATATATTTTAACATTTGTTATCCTATGCATATTTGCAGGAAATTGTTTTTTTAATGTCAAAGCTGTGTCCTAATTTGTAAGAAAGTCTTACTCTGTAAGCCTTTTCGTTGTTTTTAGTGGTACATCTTGCTATTAATTATATTATTGATATTTGAATCAGTGAATAGGTTATGCTGTTATGCCTGTCCCAAGTGACATAGCACTTTTCCCTTTGACATAACCAGCAGGCTTAATTGGAATCAGTTTAGCTCGCTTTAAGTAGGTCTAGGATCTTGCAGATTTATTCAACACTGCAGTTATTCCCTACCAGTTGCGCGGCAAATGCTATTCTTCTACGTTCACCCTTAAAGAGGTGGTTGTTGCGTTGTGTTGTGATTTACAGCAAACCTGCGATATTTGAACATTTTAGCCCAACACATCCAATTTCAACAAACCCTTAATAAGTGCCAATTTTTTTACAACATGCTTTTTTATGTCTTTCTGTCTTTTTTTTTTTTTTTGTGAGTGCTGATCAATATATAGTTTTTTGGTTCTCCTTGCAATAACGGTTGCTACTTGGACGGCGACAGCCGCTTAGTCAGAGTTCAGTCCCCTGGCTGCGGTGCAATTACGGAGTGGACAAGGCACGAATCACAAAATACAGTGAGTTCAACATGGCGTCTAGACCACGCGCTGCGACTCACAATAGCCTAACCCTAACCCTACCCCTAACCCTAACCCTACCCCTAACCCTACCCCTAGCCCTAATTATGTCATTTGTGCCGTTCCCTCTTTTCCACTCTGTAATTGCACTGCAGCCAGGGGACTGAACTCCAACTAAACGGCCGTCGTCGTCCAACTAGCGACCGTTATTGCAAGGAGAGCCGGTTTTTTAATTATATTTTCATGGGGCGGGGGGTGAAACTGCAGGAGTCTGCCTACCCTTGCCCCTTTTTTCCCCCACTAAAAATTAGGCTGTAGTTTGTTCCTTGTGGATGCTGTCAGCAAACAGTGTCAGTCTGTGGAGAGTGACCAAACATTATGTGATTTTTACCTGGGGCTGTGAAGTAGATCCAACGGAGTTTAAATATTTATAGTTTCCTTCTGTTCATTTTCAGATGCTCTCACTTGTTATGCTTTCAGATGCAGTTTATGTTGATCATGCTGGAGCCACTTTGTGTAGTAAGTCACAAATTGATGCAGTTCACCAGGAGCTGACTTCTACCTTGTACGGAAACCCACATAGCTACAATGCCTCGAGTAAACTGGCTACAGATACTGTCGATCAGATCAGATACAGGTAAACTTCTTTTTCTTCTTCTGTTTCTTCTTCTGCTTCTTTTTCTTCTTCTTCTTCTTCTTCGTCTTCTTTGTCTTCTTCTTCTTCTTCTTCTTCTTCTTCTTCTTCTTCTTCTTCTTCTTCTTCTTCTTCTTCTTCTTCTTCTTCTTCTTCTTCTTCTTCTTCTTCTTCTTCTTCTTCTTCTTCTTCTTCTTCTTCTTCTTCTTCTTCTTCTTCTTCTTCTTCTTCTTCTTCTTCTTCTTCTTCTTCTTCTTCTTCTTCTTCTTCTTCTTCTTCTTCTTCTTCTTCTTCTTCTTCTTCTTCTTCTTCTTCTTCTTTTTCTTCTTCTTCTTCTTCTTTTTCTTCTTCTTCTGCTTCTGCTTCTTCTTTTCTTCTGTTCCTCAGACTTAGTCTAATTGACATGCTTGAGGGGATAGAAGGATCTTCTATTGGCTCTTTCTAATGCACCGCATGTATGGATCCTTATTATTTAGCTCACTCAGTACTAAGCTCCTTTTGTAGGTTCCAGGACCCCTTTTTTGGGGCGCGGCCCTGAAACATGTCATAAAAGGTGACTAATTAGGTAGGTTCCTTAAAGAGACTTCATCTCCCTGAGAGATGAGAAACCAGAAGTCTGCACACATATAAGGCAGATTTGTAAAATAGATGTGACCACAAAACTCAAGTTCTGGAACAAGACTGAATTCTAGAAGTGGATGAACAACCAGAAACTTTCGACTGATGTTTACAGCCGGTTAGATAAAGTTATCGGCAACCCGCTAATGGGTAAATGGTAATAATATTTGGAGGAGGGAGAGGCAAGGTGCATGAAATCCCAGGTTCTGGTGCCTATGATATGGATAACCATTTTTAAGAAGTTGGAATAAAGAAGACATTAACAATAGATCTTCTTCTTCTTTTTCTTTGCGTTCATGACATGTTAACTCTGGTGGAAAATTCTGTCTGTTCATCTACCCTTTGACAGTAGTCTTGTTCCAGAACTTGAGGGTTGCATGTACATCCATTTTACAGATCCAACATATGTGTATAGACCCTGTTGGTTCCATGCTTCTCAGGTAGAGGTAATCTGGCTTTAAAGGAATGCTCCCAGTTAGTTTACAATTGTGACACGCTTACTGGGGAGGCAGTGGGTCTATTCTTGTTTCCCCCCCAACAAGGCCTCAGAACCGACACAAGGATTATCCCAGTTTAACTCAGCTCTTTAAGTTCCAGTGGGTTTAATATCAGAGGCCTGAGATATAGTTTTAAAAAACGGTATAATCTGCGTGTATTACGTTCATTGGGCTTCACTGTAGAAACCTATGAACGTATGATGCATTCCTTAGGACTGAAAGAGTTAAAGTCTCTGCTCAGAAGTAATACCATTTGTCATTGGTAGGCTACAGGGCATTAATACAAAAAGAAGAAAACATTGAAGTCCTGCATGACCTGAACATCAAGGAGAACTGGCTCATAAACAGCATCCTCTCCCGAAAGCTGAGGTATGTTGGATACAAGGGCCATGGTGGTCTGGAGAGAACAGTGATGGGGGGGGGATTTCTGGAAAATGAGGCAGACGCCAACCTCCACAAAGGTGGATACAGGACATGGAAGATGTGTTTGCTATGAAAGCACACAGGGCTGGAGAATTGGCTAGAGAAAAAGAGATTAGCAGAGAGTGACGTTCTGAAAAGGATGTGCTGATTGATTGATTGAGCATTGGTTATCTTGTATGTTCCCAGCCTTCTGTCTCATGTACTGGCAATCTTTTTTGATACAGATCTTCTTTTTAATTTTCTTTCCCACAGACTGCTCAAGTTCTTTAACACGTCCCATGAAGAATACAGCCTTATATTCACGGCTGGATGCACGGCATCGCTGAAGATTGTTGCAGAGTGTTTCAGCTTTGGCAATGGTATGTTGGGGACATTTGTGGGGGTCAGAAGCAAGTACACCTTCTTCTTCACCTATTCTGCTCTTAATTTCTAGCACACATCTTCCGTCTGAAATTATGATTGTACCCAGATATTTGAATTTATCGACTTGAGTCAACTTGATTACCTTCTATTCTATTATCACACTTTGGTAGTATACTTGTCTTTGATGTAACAATTATCTCTGGTTTCTGTATATTCAAGGACAGACCCTTTTTTTCTCTCTGATTACAGTGTCCAGTAGTTGTGTAGATCATGAGCATTTTCAGTTATCAGTACTATGTCATCTGCATAATGTATGTTGCTTATATTAAAACCTCCCACTCTAATTCCTTGTGTATCCTTAATTTTTTTTTCTCGCTACAGAAAGAGAAGAGGTCAGGTGACAAAACACATCTCTGTCTTACTCCTGGTTTGATCTATTCATATGTGCCCATTCTATTTCCCAATTTAATAGCTGTCATTTTCTTCAAATAAATATTCTTAATTATTCTGATATCTTTCTCATCAGTCTTAATTTCTGTCAACATTTTGACAAGTTCCCTATGTTTTACCTTATCAAATGCTTTTGTGTCATCTATAAAACATAAATGAAAGTTCTTCTGGGTTTCAGTTGATATCTCTTTCAGTGTTCTCAAGGTATATATTGCATTATTTGTTATTTTTCCCTCCACAAAACCACACAGTTCATAACTGATTTACATCTCTTTTTTTTTTGTCTTGTTCTTCTCATTACAATTCTTAGCAGACATTAGGTAATATGATTTATAAGGTTGATTGTTTGAAAATCCTCACAATCCATAGCCCCTGGCAAATGAAAAATTTTTTTTTTTTACGCAGCTCACTATAAATTTTAATGCATGTACAATTTTTTTTCTAACCTTATAACGATGACCTAGAAAAGTAAAAGCCGAGCTCCCATAATTTCAGATTTTCAGATATTCCCAAAGTCCTGTGGCGAAGTGGTCAAGCCATTTGCCTTGCGCTCTGAAGGTCGTGGGATCTTGTCACAGCTGTGATGTTCAGTTCACAAGTGCAATTTTTATGAAGATCCCTGGGGATCATCGCCAGAGCTGTAGAGTTTGTGCTTTGTGTGGCACTCTCCGCAGGTGGCTAGCTGTTCTACCTAGAGAGACCGAGCTGTATGGGATAAAATCCAGTGCAATGCAGTCGCTCCTCTTAACTTTAACTTTTACCATTTTACATAAGTCACACAAAAATCTCAAAATGAGTGAAACGTCCAAAACATGAATGAATACAAACACAGGGTAAAGTAAAGTAAAGTGAAGATCCCTTTCACGCCTCTAGGCGCATCGGGCATGTGGGAAGAGAACCCATATTTTTACAGACCAATAGGCACTTGGTGGATAATGGGGGCAGCATTACACCAGCAATCTTTACCTCCCCAGGACAAACATCCTAGTACCCATTTTAGGCTGGGTCGACCTGCGACGCCCCATACCATGATAAAAATCCATGTAGCCAGCAGTGGGGTTTGATCGCGGCATGCTGAAGTTACCAGTCAGACATGCAACGCCTAAGCCACGGATGCTGCACAAACACAGAGTAAGGGAAGTAATCAGCAAAGTGAATACAGCATAAAATCCTTTGGTTTACATCTCCTGGAACCTGTCTTTTTCTTCTATTCTTCGAGGTGTCAGGGCAGGAAAATATCTCTGGAACTGGCTCTTCTGTTCACCTCGTTTAAAGTACCTTTCAGTGTCTCTGATATTTCTGCGGTCCATTTTCTGTGTGGTCGACCTCTAGTTCTGTTACTGTTGTGTCTGTATAACATTGCTCTCTGTGAAGCCCTGTCTGATGCCAATCTTGTTACATGGCCAAACCATTTGATTTGTTGTCAACCTATTAAGCTCAGTATTGGTTCTTTGCCAACTCTCCTCTTGATATCATTGTTCCTAAGTTAAACTTTTCTCGTTTCACCTAGCATAGTACATAAACATTTCATTTCTGTCGTGACTATTTTCCTTCTGTTTTCTGAATACTATCCATGTTTGACATTGATAGCATAGTGCTGGTAAGATTATTGTGTTAAACAGTGTTCTTTTAGTGTTCATATTCACATAACCTAGAACCTGTAAACTAATTAGAGCTGGACACTTGACCCTGTGACCCAGTCGCCCAATAACCACAGTAGCCAGTGAAGGAAACATGATGTAAGAATTTCTACAAATAAAGCCTATTTTTTTAAAGAAACCCCATCCACTAGTGCTCATATGTTTATAGACCAACAGGCACTCGGCAAGTGATGTGGTCAACATAACGCCGGCCGCCTTTACCTCCTAGGATCACCTGCTTGAATTATAATTAATGGAAAAGCATAATGTTTTGTTTGTGAATTTCTTAAATTATAATATATCATTTATCCTTATTTGTTAAAAATAAAGTACAGGACCCTTTTCCACACCTTCATGCGTGTTAGGTATTTGGGCTAGACATATATTTTATAGACCAAACGACACTTGGTGGGTGATTTGGTCAGCCTCACGGCTGCTACTTTTACTTTCCCGGGCTGCACCTGATACCCACTCAAGGCTGGGTCATCCTGAGAGCCAAGGTCATTTTTGAAGAGAAAAAAAAGCCTGGCTATGTCAGGACCTGAAACCAAGACCGTCCGATCGGCAGGCGCGCAGCGACTTCCTCCTCATATATTATCCCACTGTAAATAGAATTATAGCTATGATTTTAAATAAATCTTCTACAGAACCTTCTGGAGTGTTCTGTTTCTTGGAAGACAATCACACATCCGTACAAGGCATGAGAGAACTAGTTGCTGAAAGATCTTCCGGAATCTTCTGTCTCAATGAGGAAGAACTTACTACCGCTATCTCAAATCAGATTTCAGGGACGAAAGCTGAGAATGAAAACCTTCCTAAAGATAACAAGGCTTCTTCTCCAGTCGATCCTCCCTCTGTGTCCTCATCGGCCCGGTCACTGCTGGCATATCCTGCCCAGTCAAACTTTTCCGGAAGGAAGTACCCCCTTGACTGGGTCAATAGAGTCCAGAAATCTGGCCTAGGTCTTCCTGGCAGAAGGTATCTGAGGATGTAAAAGTCTGTCGATTTTCTGTTGTGCCAGTTTCCTTTTGTAATATATATCAGTAGTTTTTATAAGTTGTACCAGTATAATTGTGTAGTTTTTATATGTTGTACTATTATATTTTGTGTAGTTTTTATAAGTTGTACCAGTATATTTTGTGTAGTTTATATAATTGTACCAGTATATTTTGTGTAGTTTTTATAAGCTGTACCAGTATAATTTTGTAGTTTTTATAAGTTGTACCAGTATAATGTTGTAGTTTGTGTATGTTGTACCAGTATAATGTTGTAGTTTGTATAAGTTGTACCAGTACATTTTTGTAGTTTTTATATGTTCTACCAGTATATTTTGTGTAGTTTCTATAAGTTTTACCAGTATATTTTGTTTAGTTTTTATCAGTTGTACCAGTATATTTTGTTTAGTTTTTATCAGTTGTACCAGTATATTTTGTGTAGTTTCTATAAGTTTTACCAGTATATTTTGTTTAGTTTTATCATTTGTACCAGTATATTTTTGTAAAGTAAGTATAGGACCCTTTTCCATGCATTTAGGCGTATTGGAAATATAGGGCTAGACCTATATTTTTTCTTCAAATTTAGAGTGCATCTGCCTGAAAGGCGAGGGACCAACAGTCTGCATACAAATACGCTAGATCTGTGATACAGCTATGCACTCAAAACTCAAGTTCTAAAACAAGATGCAAGTGCAGAAATGGACGAACAACAAAAACTTTCTGCCGTAGCTTGCAGCTGGTGAACACTAAGAACAAGTAGAATTGCATAATGTCATTAAAACTTTTGAAAAACCATTTTTAAACATTTTTGTTTTTTGTTTTTGTAACATGAACAGGCAACTTACTTCAGAGAAATGGTTTGTGCTTCTTGATGCTGCCGCTTTTGTGAGTACCAGTCGACTGAATCTGTCCGAGGTCAAGCCAGACTTTGTGACACTGTCATTCTACAAGATGTTTGGTTACCCCACTGGCTTGGGTTTGTACTCGTACCTTTTTTATTGTTGTTGTTCATTATCAGTTGCCTTATTTTTAATGATGTGCTCGTCTTTGCTGTCTTGATAGGTGCTGCTTAACCCTTTCGCTGCTATGGACGAGATAACTCGTCTGCCCGGCAGACTGCTAAAGACGAGATAACTCGGCTGCAATTTTCTGTGCCCTCACTGCTAAGGACGAGATATCTCGTTCTGGACATTTTTTTTACAGATTGCTAAGGACAGTAATTCTTAGGGGTGAAATAGCAATACACATTAACTTAATCTGATCAAACTGACCCGTTTACATACAATTAAAACCCTTATCGAGTGAGTTTAGGCATATTTAGATGCATTTCACGTTATCCTGTTTCTTTGTTACCATAGAAGCATTGTCGGTGATCGGTAATTTTTTTGCCCTGAAATATATTTCTGGTTTTGCGTTAGTCTAATTTTTTTTAAATACAAAATAACAAGAACATTTGTTTAAATAAAGAAGAATTAATTGAGTTTCTTTCAAGGAGTAGTAGTAAGGATCACTTTGAAACGTGTGAGTTATATGAGCTGGGTTATCTTCGCGGCACGCCGGCGGACACGTGTACTTCTGGCTGTGAACAAGACTGACCAGTGACCATATGACCTAGCTATCTACATCGACTGGATTTGAAACGGATCCAAAATAATCACACAAAAAAAGATATAGTCACGTACTGACGTGATGATTAATATTAATGTTAATTATATACTATACAACTGACATAAATGTGTTTGTCTATTAAAGTGTACAATACTGGTCTTTTTTTCAGTTCATAGATTCATGTGAATTTCTAGTGTAGTTGGTATCACGTCTGCCTTACAATCGAAAGGTCCAGCGTTCAACCCCTACGTGCCGTTTTTTTTTTTAAATTAATTATTTTAAATGCAAATTTTAAATTTAAGCTGTTAGCATTTTCGGCAACAGATAACCAAAGAAATAATTAATTAAACATCCTGTCACGTGCGTTCAGGTGGATTTAGATGCTTTACACGTTATGTGAAGCGTGGTTGGTGTACTGTGCACATTCATTATATAAAGTTGTTGTGGGGAAAAACACACCTGTTGCCGAATTTCACTTAATGTTAGTAAGAGAAATTCTACATAAATATTGCAAGGAAAAGAGAAAAAGTGTAGGAGGACACAAAAGTGAAGATCTGCCACTTCGTTTAGTACAAAGGCATTCCCCTTCAATAATAGAGTCCGTAACATCGCAGAAAAAATTCCCAACCAGAAAGTGTGTGGTATGCGCAAAAAGCAAAAAACGACGGAAACCCAGATACATGTGCAAGGAATGTGATTTGGCATTGTGTGTCGGACATTGTTTTGAAATATTTCACACACAAAGATATTATTAATAATAATAAAAACCATGTATTTGCTTACTAAAGTGTTTTGTGTTTGCTTTGTAAGTTTGTAGTGTTTTCTTTTTGTTAATGAGTTTTCACGGCGTAGTAATAGCGCGTCTGACTTGTCATCGCAGTTCAACCACACGCCTTCAACGATTTTTTATTTTAGGTGTACAATTTTTACCCCGTGCCGTAAGCGCGTCTTCTGCTTTTGAAGGAAAAAACGGTATTCAGCACAGGGGGAAAGATTAGCTCTCGCCTGGCTTAGCACAGTGGTTACGTTGGCTGGCGGAGGGCGCAGCAGCGAAAGGGTTAAAGCAATGTATCTTATACGTACTGTCTGTCTATGTCTCTTCCTGCCACTTTCTCTTCCTCTCTGTCTATATCTCTCTCACACACTCTTCCCTTTTTTTTCTTCATATGTGTGTGTGTGTGTGTGTTATAAAGAAAATATCACTAGAGAAAACCATGTGGCAAATCAAAGCATCCAAACAATAATAAAGACATTTAAACAACATTTACACCTCCATGACTAAGCACAGAGGAGGCAGCTCAAAAAAGCAGAAATATGGAAGAGTTGAGAGTAACTATTACAGCATCTCATATTTGTCTTAGTGTGTGTTGTGAAAGGAGCAGGGGATAGACTAGATGGTTTTTACCAATTCACTTGGTGGGGAATGGATGTATGACAAGATGTTGTGAGGGCCCTTTGGGAGAGAGTGAACAGTGAAGAGGCACAAATAGATTATTATGGTCTGAGGAGAGTGGCACTCAGGGAGTTACCAGGGGATCTGGCCGGCGCTCAACACTCAAGGCGAGAAGGATGTAGAATCAGACGGTTATTGGTACCATCAGATTCGAACTCTTCGCTTGTTGCTGAAGATGGGGAATTAGTGCTTATGGTATAATCTGGAATGCTATGATGTCAATTCTTAATTCAACATATATCAGAGGTTATGAATGCAGCTTCATAATTTTGACATACATGGATTTGAATTAGCGGCAGGCTATTTGGCAGCAGATTATTTAATGTTGACTTCGGCAGAGGTATAAGCATGAGCTGCTCATAAATACATCTTCTCCTCTATACAACTTATGATCATCCACACTTGCAACCACACAACAACAACAACAAGTAAATTAAGAAAGAAAATGATTTTTGTAGGGTCAAAAAGTTTTCCTTCTTCTTCTTCTCTCTTATCAGCTGTAAACTCTGGCAGAAAGTTTTGAGTGTTTGTCCACCTCCAAACTTTACTCATGTTCCAGAACCTGAGTGTTGCGTGCACATCCGTTTCACACATCTGGCTTATTTGTATGCAGTCTCTTGGTTCCCTGTCTCAGGCAGATGCACTCCGACTTCGAAGGCTGCACCCAGTTAGTCATCTCTTAGGACATGCTTGTTAGGGAGGCAGTGGGTCTGTTCTGGTTTTCCCCACAATGGGGCCCTGGGACCTACACAGGAAAAGACAGCAGTACGAGAGCTGTACTGTGAAAGAGATAGAGCCTTCACCACCTAATGTTGAAGACAGTACTGGGTACACTGTAGACAACCTTCTTTGTGGAGACAATTTATTTTGTCAAACTAACATTTGAAAACTGTTAGTTCACTTATCATGTCCAGACAATTTCTTTTTTTTTGTAAACTAACATTTGAAAACTTTTGGTTCACTTATTATGTCCAAATAATTTCTTTTCTTTTTTTAAATTAACATTTGAAAACTTTTGGTTCACTTATTATGTCCAGACAATTTCTCTTTTTTTTTTTTTCAACTAGCATTTTAAAACTTTTAGTTCACTTATCATGTCCATTCAAATTTTTTTTTTTAACTAACATTTGACAACTGTTACTTCACTTATTATGTCCACCACTAGTTTAGTGAAGTTCACTGGATTCTTATGTCTCGTTGCCTGTAGGTGCTCTCCTGGTTCACAAACGGGCCTCTAATACCTTGTCTAAGAAGTACTTTGGCGGTGGAACTGTGGCAATGAGTGCTGCCAAAGATCGATTTCACGTCTTCAGAGACACCTTGCATGAAAGGTATAATGTAGGCTTTCTTCTGTCAAAGAAGATGTCATATTTTTTTTAATTTTAATTCTCTAAATTTGTGTTATTGTTTTTTCTAAAGATGTAATTTTGTTTTCTTTTAATTTTCTGACAAGTTTTTTTTTTTTTTTTTTGTATGCTACAGGGAGATGTACACTTATTTTTTTTTTTTTTTAATTTCTCTGGCCAATTTTTATTATATTTTAGAAAAAGGTCTTCTGCTTCTTCTTCTGCTTCTGCTTCTTCACCGTCCTAGTGTTCCCAAGCTGTAAACTCCGACAGAAAGTTTTGTATGTTCATCTACTTTTGGACTTTGATCTCGTTCCATAACTGGAGTCTTGTATACACATCCTTTTCATAGATCTGACTTATGTGAATGCACACTATTGACTGCTCACCTCTCAGACAGATGCATACTGACTGCCAAAGAAACACAACTAATTTTATTAAGCTTGGGGGGGGGAGGGCAGCAGCTCTTTATCCCCCTCCCCCATTGAGGGCCCTAGAACCCACATAGGAAGCTAGAAAGGGGAGTGGGGTAATTTTTTTCATATATGTGACCATATTTTTTTTTATTGCAAAGGTAATGGTGTAACCTTTTTTTTTTCCTTAAATGCTGTGAACAATTTTGTTACTGTCAGAAGGAGATGTAACTTTTTCATTTCTCTAATCAGTTTTGTTACTGCTAAAGAAAGATGTAACTTTTTCAAATTTTTTCCCCCAATTATTTTACTGCAACAGGGGAAGGTAACTTGTTCAAATATTTTAATCATTTTTTTTTTGGTAACTGCTAGAGGGAGACATAACTTTTTATATTTTTCTAATCATTTTGTTTTTTTGTACAGCTAGAGGGAGACATAAGTTTTTACATTTCTCTGACCACTTACTTGGCTGCTATAGGGAGATGTAACATTTTTATTTCTCCTTGACTGCATCTAGCATATATGGTGTTAATCCCACATTTTAAAGACCGACTTTAAAGACAAATTAACTGCATGTGGATTTGAAGCCTAGACCTTGAGGCTGGCAGGCAAGTGTCGAGCCACCACACTACCACTCTTCCATAATCTCAAAAGTGAAAAAAAAAGTGGGGTGGTTGCAGTCTAGTTAACTCTTTTCATGCCAGAGGACAGTTAAATTAGTTACAACTCAATGCATGATGAGGGTGTTAGTATCAAAAGAGTTAATATTCAGTATTCTATATTCTCTGGTGTGATGTTGACCACATCATCCACTGAGAATTGATTGGTCTGTAAAATTTAGGTCTAGCCCTATATGCCCAATGCACCTCAAGGCATGGAAAAGGGTCTTTTACGTTGTTTTTCTTTTCAACTTACTCTATAGTTAATATACTAACTAGCATACTGCTAGCATTCTAGAACCAATGTCAAGGATATTTGGGAAAAAGTGTTTCCTGATGACTGGACCGAAGGAACAATAGTCCAAATCCCCAAAAAAGAAGACTTAACAGACTGCAATAATTGGAGGGAAATTACTCTACTCTCAGTACCAAGCAAAATATTTTGTAAAATCATCATAATGAGGCTTGAAAAAGGAGTAGAAAAATGCCTACGAGTAGAACAAGCAGGATTCAGAAAGGGCAGAGGAACAACTGAACACATCTTCGCCATACGCAACATCTTAGAACAATGCAATGAATGGCAGAGAAGTATATATATATATATTAATTTTGTGGACTTTGAGAAAGCTTTTGACAGCGTGCATAAAGATAGTCTATGGAAAATTTTACGACATTATGAATTCCAGAAAAAATAGTCAACATAATTGCTCTCTTCTTTAAAGACTTCTCCTGCAGTAAAAAAAATTACAATACATCTTTCCCAGCAAAGACAGGTGTAAGACAGGGATTTGTTATGTCATCTCTCCTTTTCAACCTTGTGATTGATTGGATACTAAAGAACACAGTAGACAGGACATTAAGAGGCATACAATGGACTCCATTCACCATGCTTGAGGACCTTGATTTTGCAGATGATATAGCACTCCTATCACATAAACATGAACATACACAAGAAAAAAGTAACAGACTACACTGCACAGCAGAAATGGTGGGACTGAGAATAAATACAAAGAAAACTAAGATCATGACAAACAGTCCAAACCAACAACCAGTGACCATAAGTAACCAATCACTTGAAAATGTAGAACATTTCACATATCTTGGCAGTGTGGTGTCCCTGCCGGGAGGGACCGAAGAGGACATAAAGTCACGTCTGAGCAAAGCTAGAGCTGCTTTTGGAAGGATGAGGCAAATCTGGAAATCCAACAATTACTGCAGAGGAACGAAACTCCGACTCTACAAGAGCATCATTTTGCCAATTCTTCTTTATGGAGCGGAATGCTGGAGAATGACCAAAAAGGATGCACACAAGCTGTCTACGTTCCACCACACATGTCTACGTAGAATTATCAAAATTTTCTGGCCAGATACAATCTCAAACACTAAACTACTTCAAGTCACAAACCAAGAAACTTTAGGCAATATGATAACCAAGAGAAGATGGAAATTCACACCTGCAACCTGCACAAAGGCAATATTCTGCAACTGTTAATAAATGACATCAGTTAGTTGTCTTGTGAAGGCCCTCATGTGACACAGATATGACCCATATGGTCCTCAGGGGACTCTCAGTTTGGCATGCCTTCTCTACTCCTTGTTGTTATTGTTGTGGTTTTTATCGAGCAAGACTCAAGAAATGTCAGATTTTTCTTGTGCATTCACACTGTCCCCCCCCCCCCCCCCCCCTTTTTTTTTCCATTTAAATTCTTAGTCACAGATTATTAGATTATTTTTTAAATCTTTAATTCTAACAAGAAGCTTTTTTGTTTTCCAGATTTGAAGATGGAACTCTACCATTTCTAAGCATAATTAGCCTAAGGCTTGGCCTAGATGCGCTTAACAAATTAGCAGGTCAGAATGTGTGTGCGCACACACACATGTTCGTGTGTTTGTTGCGTGTTTGTGGTTTGGGGGGAGGTGCGAGTATTTTTCTTTTAGTCTTTGGCATGTATCACATTAACTGATTGATTTCCAAGTATTTTGTTCCCTCCTTTAGTGAATTTTAAATTGCAGATGGGTTGAAAAAACAACAGTGAGAGACAGCCTGAGTTAAATTAGTAATTTACGTCATCAATCAGCAGATTCTCAACAGGAAGTTTTTCTCATCACAGCAGTCCTGATAGTCTATTTGTGCTTTCATAGCCAATGCGGCTTCAGCGTTTTGTACCCACCTTTGTGAAGGTCTGTCCCTGCATCATTCTCCACAGACTGTACCCTGCAAAACAATTATCTCCAGGCCATGACGTTTAGCATGGCTATAATACCACAGTTTTCAAGTCAGGATGCTGTTTATGAGCCAGTTCTCCACGATGCTGAGATCATGTAGAATGTTGGTGGTTTTCTTCTTCTCTCTCAACGGTATTCTAAGAATTTTTCTGTAACATTTAGCTATTGAGTTAGCATTGATTATTGTAATAATTTCATGAAGAACAGCATGCTTAGAAAATCATGTCAGGTAAATAGAAACCAGTGAATACTTAGTGAGTTGGTTAGTACTCTCAGAGTTAGGATTCTTGCTAGGCTAGTAGGTTAGCTCTTTCGCACCGAGAAGCTGAAAAACTGACACTTCTAGTTGGGACCAGTTCCCCATAAATGTTGCTTTACCTATTTGTCTTTGGTGACCTGTTTATGAGATACTTAGATAATGCAGTTGGCTGAGTTTAGACTGCATGAACGCCTACACCAGCTGGCAAGGCACTTGATGATGAGATAAATACATTTATTAATGACCTGAGTAAACATTAGTGTGTGTTTTGTTTTTTTATTTTTTTCTTGATTTCCAACCAGGTTATGGTCTTATTTTTTTTTTTTTTTTAATATGTTAATTCACACAGAATAACAGTAACTAGTGTCCAATCCATCGAATGTTTTGTACCTGCCAACTCTTCCTCAGCATTACTTGACAGCAGACGTGGAAGAAGATAATGATGATGATGATGATCAGTCAAGATATTTCTTTGCTTCCAGGTGGCATGGACAGAATATCCCAGCATGTGTTTGCGGTTGCCCAGTACTTTCATCATCATCTGCAGAGCCTCAAGCATGGGAATGGCCACCCCCTGGCCCAGATTTATGGAGACGTCCAGTTTAATGATCCCAGAGAACAAGGAGGACTTGTGACCTTTAATCTCCGGAGAGCAGATGGAAAGTTTATCGGGTTTGCAGAGGTTAGTGTTTGGCTATGGTCATCTTTATCATCATCATCACCATCATTGTCATTATCACAATAGTCTTCATCATCATCATCATTGTCATTATCATCATCATCATTTTCATCATCATCATTGTCATTATCATCATTGTCATCATCATTTTCATTATCACCATAGTCTTCATCATCATCATTGTCATCATTATCATCATCATTGTCATCATTATCATCATCATTGTCATCATCATCACTGTCATTATCATCATCATTGTCATCATCATCATCATCATCATTATCACCATCATCTTTCTCATCATCATTGTCATTATCATCATCATCACAGTCGTCTTTATCATCATCATCATTGCTGTTATCATCATCACACAGTTATGACCATCATCTTTATCATCATCAACATTGTCTTCAACATCATCAACATCATTGTCAGTATCACCATCAACATCATCTTCATTGTTATCATTATCATCATCACCATCATTTTCATCATTGTCATCATCATCATTATCACCATCATCACCATCATCTTTATCACCATCATAATCTTCATCACCATCATCATCTTTATCATAATCATCACTATCATCTTTATCATCATCATCTCTATCATCTTTATCATCATCATTGTCGTTATCTTTGTGTGAGATGTTTATTTTTGTCGATTGGGATTGTCTTATGCCATAAAAGTGTCTAAAACTTGCACAAAATGTTTAAATACGTCTCTCAGGTGGACAAATTTGCACAGCTGCATGATGTACATCTTCGGACTGGGTGTTTTTGCAACATTGGGGCCTGCCAGATTTATCTGAATCTGTCATCAAAGCTCATCAGAGACAATTTTGCTGTAAGTCTCCTTCAAGAATTCAATATTATCTTTATGCAGTTTTGTGATTAACAGAACACATGCATGCTTCATTTGAGGAAATTTTGTACTTTTATTTTAATTCACACCATCTCGAAGAATCTGAGAGTTCCCTGGGAGAGTCCAATGTTATAGGGATGTTACAGTAAAAAATGATCACCGACTAACTCCAGCCCTAAACCTAACCCCCTATGATATTGGATTATTGGAAACTCTTGGATTCCTCGAAATGGGGTTAACTAAAATAAAAGTATCTGACGTTCTCCATATGGGTTACAGAACCCTATTTAGGGGGAGGAGAAAAGACTGTCCCCTTAACAAGGATGTCCTAAAAGGTGATTAATTATAGGTGTTTCCTTCTAAGTCAAAACTGCCCTGACTGAGAGGCAAAGAACAGTCTGCATACACAGAAGCCACATCTGTAAAACGGATGTGCATGCAAAACTCATATTATGTAAGAAGATCAGTCCAAAAGTGGATGAAAAACCAGAACTTTTCGTCTGAGTTTACATCTGTTGAACATGAAGAAGAAGAAGAAGAAGAAGATTATCAACTAAGAACCATCTGTTGTGTCTCCACCATGGTGTGTTAGAGAGAGACTTAGGAATTTCACTGACACTTTCTCATGTGAGTTCTGATGCCCCATTATGGGAAAAAACAAGAATAGACCCACTGCCTATTCAAAAGCATGTTGTAAGAGTCGACTAATTGAGAGCTTCCTTCAAAGCCAGAGAGCATCTACCTGAGAGGCAAAGAACATGCAACCCCCCCCCCCCTTCCACAATCCATGTATATATGTTTTCATTTTCAAGCATTTGTTTATACATTTTGATATTATTTCAAGTATATATATTTATAATTATTGTGCATGTAAACAAGGCTTGAGCCGCCTTTTTTTTTTTCTTTCAGAAATGTTCTTCTCTCCTAGATCAACCTTACCTTCATTAGGTACCAGGTAAAACCTGGGAAGTAAAGGTGGTCTATGTGATGTTGATGACATCACCCTCCGAGTGCCGGTTGGTCTGTCTAGTGGTCTTCTTCACGTTGTTTCTGGGCGTTCATCTACCTCCAGACATTAGTCTTCTGAGGAGTCTGAGTGCTGTGTGCACATCTCTTTCACACATCTAGCTTATTTAAATGTCTTGGTTCCTTGCCTCTCAGGTAGATGCACTGTGACTTTGAAGGATGCCCCCCCCCCCTCCTCCCAATTAGTCAACTCCTATGATATGCTTGTTTAGCAGGCAGTGGGTCTCTTCTTGTTTCCCCCCACAAAGGGGCCCCCAGAACCCACACAGGGAGATTGGTCTATAAGATATAGATCTCGCACTCTAAGCCCAATATACCTGAAAGCATGGAAACCCCCTTCTTCAAATGTAAATGTTTGATTTATTAGAAAATATATGTGCCTCAAAATGTCTGTGTGTTTTTTCCTATGTTCCCACAGGCAGGCCATGTCTGTGGCGACAACATGGATCTCATTAATGGACTTCCAACTGGGGCTGTGCGGATTTCCTTTGGATACATGTCGACTATCTCAGATGCACGGGTTTGCCTGCGTTTTATCGCAGACACTTTCCTGGAGCAAGTGACCCCAGTCCCAATATTTCCGGACCCTGAGTGGTACAGAAGTGCTTCTGAAGACGGAAAAAGTGACCTAACTGAGGTCAAGAAGGCTGAGAAGGTTACTAAGGCCTTAGAGAAAAATGTCACTGTTACAGAAAGTAAGTGGTGCTGTTTATTTGTATAAGCTTTTATTACAGACACTTTTGTTTGTTTGTATATCTGGGCAAAACTTGTTAGTCTCCTGCATTTGCTTTTAAAGCAGAGGTTAAACTTTGTGTTGTGCTTTACAGCTAGGCTGTGATATGTGTGCAACATAATATGCTGTATCTAAACTTCACAGATGGTGTAACTAATGGAGAAAACAAAGACGTCAACACTGCAGATGTTTCAGCAGCCAGCGTGTCCAAGACATGTTCAGAAACTGTCCGAAAAGTCACAGACATCTTCTTGTACCCAATCAAGTCTTGTGGTGCTTTCAGGGTATGTCTGTCTGTTGTGTTTTATGCTTACTGTTAGGAGTGGCCTATTTGAATCTAGACAATACAATGGGGCTCGGACATGTTTGAGCTAGTCGTTAGACAATGTTCCAATTTGACTGTAAAGAAAAGAGTCACCTTGTAGTTGCTGTGATCCTGAAGCAATAAAAATCAAACACAATGTCCTTCACTGTTTATTTGAAAACTTGTAAGAACATATCAGTCCCAGCAAAATTTTGAAGCTAGCACATGCAAAGTAAATATATAAGTCAGCCATCATATGTGAAAACACTAATAATCTTCAAGCAGAATTGCAGCCTACTGTTGATGAAAGTTGTTTGTCGCAGTAGCCAGCATGGCACACGCAACACTGGTAAGCATATGCTGTTCCCAATGTAATCGGCCACCTGCTATTTTTAGTGCTGTTCACAACCAAAAAAACTTAACAGGCACACAAAAACACCCCCCCCCCCCCCCCCACACACACGCACACTCTACATCAATTCTGTATCTCGGTGTTGTGCCAGGCACTCATTTCAGTAGTTGGACAATTCACCATATTTGACCATTAGTCTTCACTGACTGCCTAAGATGGGGATGGAGCACTTATGGGAATACCCCAGGTGTTGTGATTTCGGTTCTTGAATCAACTCAGCTCTGAGAATGGGATATACTATCAGAATGTTGCTGGTGCCTTCCTTATTGAAACTCTTGGCTTGCTGCTGAAGATGAGGATGGAGTGCTTATGGGAATGTCCCAAGTGCTGTAATGTCGATTCTCAATTCAACATTCAGCATTTATTCATTAGGTCAGTGAATGGGCAATGTCCAGTAAAGGACTGCTGTATGACCGTGAGTGGGTGCTGGTCAGTGACACAGGAGTGACCATCGGTCAGAAGAGAGAGCCCAGAATTTGCCTGCTGAGTCCTTTCATAGATCTAGAAAGAAGGAAGCTTGTTTTGTCTTTCCCAGGTACTTTGTAGTTGTTCTGTTATTTTTTTTTCTTCTTCTCCTCCTTCTCCTCATCCTCCTCCTCCTCATCCTCCTCCTCCTCCTTATCCTTCTTCTTCTCCTCATCCTCCTCCTCCTTCTTCTTCCTCCTCCTTCTTCTTCTCCTCCTCCTCCTTCTCCCTCTTCTTCTTCATCATCTTCATCTTCTTCATCATCTTCATCTTCTTCTTCTTCTTCTTCTTCTTCTTCTTCTTCTTCTTCTTCTTCTTCTTCTTCTTCTTCTTCTTCTTCTTCTTCTTCTTCTTCATCTTCTTCTTCTTCTTCTTCTTCTTATTCTTCTTCTTCTTTTTGTTGTTGTTGTTGTTGTTGTTCTTCTTCTTCTTCTTCTTCTTCTTCTTCTTCTTCTTCTTCTTCTTCTTCTTCTTCTTCTTCTTCTTCTTCTTCTTCTTCTTCTTCTTCTTCTTTTTGTTGTTGTTGTTCTTCTTTTTCTTCTTCTTCTTCTTCTGTGTATGCTCCCAAAAGATTAGTCGGCACATTTTCTTGTGGTTTACAGCTAGGCTGCAGCCATAGACCTAACATATCCAATTGTAAGACCTATTGAACAGGCTATGTTTACATGCAGAAGATATAACATGAAAGTAAATACAACATCTAAAACTGAAGTAGTGCTGGTCAGTAGAATTCCAGGTCCACTACATCTCTGGTAGCAGGAAACAAAGACTTCCAAAAGAAACCCTAAGACAGATGTCGATGAGGGAGGCCAAAGGTGCAGGAATGGATCCCATTTATGATATTAAAACAATATTGCCAGCATATGTAACATATAACAGCACAAAAGAACACTCATGATGACGAATGTAAAATATCACGAGAACTGTATTTAAATATTTATCTGTAGGTGTGTCTTATTTTCAGCTTGTCCAGAAGATGTACAGGAACAGGAACAATAACAAGATGATGATAAAGATGATGAATGTAAAATACTGAGAGACATTTATTGAAGTTGTATATCTATAAGTGCATCTCCTTTTAAGCTTGTCCAGAAAAAGGTTGTGATGATGATGGTGATAATCATTAGTGAGTGTTAAATATGAAGAGACATTTATTTAAATATTGTATCTATAGGTTCATCTCCTTTTAAGCTTGTCCAGAAGAAGAAGAAGAAGAAAAGAAAGAAGAAGATGAAGGAAACTAAGAGAAAGAAGAGGATGATGATGGTGTTGATAATGATGAATGTAAAATATCAAGAGGCATTTATTTAAATAGTTCATCTATACATTTATCTCATTTTAAATTTTTGAAGAAGAAGAAAAAGAAGAAGATGATGATGATGATGATGATGATAAATGTAAAACACCAAAAGACATGTTGTTCTGTATTGTATCTACAGGTGCATCTCCCTTTGAACTTCCCCTGGACCAGGAAGATGAGGATGATGCTACAGCAAGTCTGTGTACCAATAAAGTTTGTGGAGACAGGTCAGAAATGTGTCAACAATGAATGACACAGTTTTCTTCCTAATATAATAATATTTCAGCCTTATATAAGCCCTATATAATACCAACAGATCCTGTAGATATCTTGCTAGAGAATAAACCAACAAAAGTAACCGACCATTTCACCTATATGGGTAGCAATTTTGACTCTCAAGGTGATACGATGAAGGAAATTATGATATGCATTGGCAAACCAACAACAAAATGGTCTTTAAAAGCCTTAACAACATTTGGAGCTCCAAATTATACAGTTTTAAGACTAAACTACGAATCTTTAGACTCCCAGGTTTAAATGGGTAGCGGGTTCAGTCCCGGAAAGTAAAGGTGGCCGGGGTGATGCTGACCACATCACCCATCTTTTGCCGATTGGTCTATAAAAATATTGGTGTAGCCCTTTATGCCTTATACCCTTTAAGGCGTGGAAAAGGGACCGTTGCTTTTTTTTTGTTTTTTTACAAATCTTTAGTTCTAGTGTAATTTCAGATCTAGCACATGCAGGCAAAAGTTGCAGAACCACCAGAGATATGCAGTGGGAGTTAAATCCCTTTGAAAATAAATGTCTGAGAAAAATCATAAACATAAAATGGGATGAGCTCCAAAAAAAAGTGAGGAGATCAGAGAAATGTCTGCAATAAGACAAAGAAGGTGAAGATAAAGTGGGAACACTCTGATATGAAATGAGCAAAGAATTACAATACAAGCACTGAAATGGGAAATAAATGGTCTGAGAAAAAGAACAGCACACAAAGGACGATGATAAAATCTAGTTAGCTGCTGTAGTGTTGCAGCTAGGTGCTCACCTGTGGATCCAAAGGTCATGGGTTCAAGTGGGAGTAATCTTCCACAACCTCATCCACCACACAGCTACAAGGAAACCAAAACAGCAATAAAGCAGTCTTTCAAGCGGGAGTGGAGAAAGCAGAATAGAGATTACAGACAAGAGAGTGACAGCATAAACAAACTCAACAGGAAAGAACAAACATCAATTTTTAGACTTTGGACTGGACACTGTGGTCTTCGAGCACACCTGTACAGAATAGGCATAAAAGAATCTGCTGCCTGTGATTGTGGAGCAGAAAGACAGACCCCTGAGCACATACTACAGTACTGCCCTTACCTCTCCCAGCAAAGACTGTGGATCTGGCCCAGGGGATAAACATTGTGAGAGAAGCTATGGGGGTCCGGTGGCGACCTTAAACGCACAATCTTATTTTTGACTCAGACGGGACTCAATGTTCAGCATGACTGAAGTCAAACGCAGAAGAAGAAGAAAAATGGGTTCAAGTCTTGACAGCCCTGGGCTTGTTCAGAAAAAACATTGGCTGCCAGGTTGAACCAGTGTTAAATGGAGGCCAAGGGGTCCCGTGAGGTCAAGATGGCCGGCCTGATGTTGATCATATCATCCACAGAGATGCTGATTGGTCATTAAAATATTAGTCTAGCCCTCTATGTGCAGCACGCCTGAAGATGTGGAGAGGGCTCTGTTACTTCACTTTTATCATCTTGCTAATGTTCCAGTCTTGCTAATATCCCAGTCTTGCTAATGTTCCAGTCTTGCTAATGTTCCAGTCTTGCTAATGTTCCAGTCTTGCTAATGTTCCAGTCTTGCTAATGTTCCAGTCTTGCTAATGTCCCAGTCTTGCTAATGTTCCAGTCTTGCTAATGTTCCAGTCTTGCTAATGTTCCAGTCTTGCTAATGTTCCAGTCTTGCTAATGTTCCAGTCTTGCTAATCATCCTACTGTTACAATCTTCCGAATGTTTAAACCCTTTCACCCCAAGAAGCCACATAACCAACACTTCCAGTTAGTACTGTTTTCCCATGAGAGCCACTTTCCTGACTCGCTATAGAGAGGTAGGTGTTTACCGGGTCACAGGGTCAAGTGTCACGCTATAATACAGTTTAGATGCTCCAAGAGATGTAAGCCAGTTGATTATATGCTGCATTCATTTTTTTTTTATAACCCCCTTATTTTATTTATTTGTGTTTTGAAGGATAAATCAAAATAGAAATAAAAAGACACATCTTATTCAAAGCATATTTATTCCAACTCTGTGCTATCAGTGCCAGACATGGTCATTCACAACAAACCATAAAAGAACATTAGTAACCATGGAAATGAGATTTCTGAGAAGGGCAGTAGGAGTGACCATAAGAGATAAGATCAGAAATGAGATCATAAGAGAAAAAGTCGGCACAGAACCAATTCTAAATTACATACAAAGACAGCAAGTGAAATGGTTTGCCCACTTAGATAGAATGCCTTGTGACACCATACCATACAAAGCATACATGGAAAGAGAAAAAGGTCGTAGAGCAAGAGTAGATCAAGAACAAGATGGAAGGATAACATCAGAGAAGCTCTACAACAGCACGATGTGCCTATGGTCGAGGCGGCCAGAAGAGCCAGAAACAGAACCTTATATCTCCCTCGACACCCACAGCGGTAAAAGAGGAAGTGAAGAAGAAGAAGAGAAGAAGAAGGATAAATTGATTTTGTGATTTTTTTGGGTGGGGGGGGTGTGATACATGTACAGTTGTTATTTTTGTAAAGATATTCTTCTGGAATATACTAAAATGGAAATTACTGGAGCTTGGCTTTTTTTTTGTTTTTTTCTAAGTCACCGGGGCAAAAGGGTAATTTTCCAAAGTTCAGATCTTCACCATCATCATCTTTTTGTGACGTTATAAGTCACATAGGGCTCACAGTCTATTCTTCCATTCTGCTCTGTCCTGTAGAATTGTTTCAGTATTGTGGATGGAATTCTGATCTAGAACCTTTGGCCTCTCTCTTCAGTGTTCATTTTGTGGTTTCTTTTTTTGGGGGGTATGTCCTCGCCTCCTGAATCCTTTTGTTTCCCGTTTATAGTGCCAGTTCTGTGATTTCCTGTCTGCTTCTCCTTAGAATGTGTCCAATGTAGCGCCATTTTCTTTATCTTATAACTGTTGATGCTAGAGGTTGTCCGGACATTTCATGAATTTATCCTGTGGAGGGTGACCATACATCCTGTTTTCATCAGGACAGTCCTGTTATTTTGTTAATGTCTCCTGGACGTCCTGTCAGTACTCCAGAAAATGCTTATTATCCTATTGTATACAAATCTAAGAATTAGCTCTGGAATAGAATATACACTTCGGTTATATTTGTAGACTTTATTAGATTTCATAGTTATAGAAAATTTTTATGCCGGAAAACTGTTCTAGAAATTTTCTTTGTAGCATATTTTTTTTCAGTACAGCTAAAGACCATACTGCTTTGTTTATCTTGGTGATAATGGTTCGGTTTTTAGTCGAGTGTTTAATTAACCCATTCAACCTTTTTACCTAGAAAAAAGGGGTAGTGTTAAAGGGACTTGTTTGGGATTTCCCGTTTTCAGTTCAACACATTCGTAGGATGTCCCCCTCTCAGCTCGAGTTATTATGGTCGCCCTAATCACAGGAAATGTTCATCAGTTTCATTAGGCGTATGTTTAAAGTTCTAATTTTGCTAATGGGAAGTGTTATAATCATCCTAATGTTATAATCTTGCTTTTGTTATAATCTTACTGATGATGTAATCTTTGTAATTTTATAATCCTTTTAATGTTTGAGTCTAGCTAATATAATAATATTCCTGTTTTATATTGTTAGTGTAAATAATCTTTAGCTGTCCTCCAAATAACGGGCACAAAATATGGCGGCTGCAAAAACACCCTAACAGAGCCTCAGTCACGTGTCAATTGTGCACTTCCAGCGACCTAATTTGCGGTTTTCCGGCGACCACTGCCGAGAGTATCCCCCATGCCGCTCATGCGGCGTGGATTGGGGCTAAACTAGATGGCTGGGACTCACGAGCAGCATCTCCTGCTGCTTTGCTCGTGAGTCCCAGCCATCTAGTTTAGCCCCTATCCACGTCGCGTGAGCGGCATGGGGGATACTCTTGGCGGTGGCGGTAGTCGCCGGAAAACTGCAAATTAAGTCGCCGGAAGTGAGTAATTGACACATGACTGAGGCCCTGTTTTTGGCCGCCATATTTTGTGCCTGTTTTTCGGAGGATAGCCTAATCTTCCTAATGTAATAATCTTCATAACGTTATAATCTTTCTAATGTTCTAATCTTGGTAATGTGATAATATTCTTGATCTTCTGCATTCATCTGAAGATGTTTTGCCTGTTTACAGCATGGCTGCAAAATTTGCACCTTTCAGCCAACACATCCAACTTCTGCAGGCATTTGTTGTCTGAGTATGCCTTCCTGGTTCATCATCATCTAATCTTCCTGTTGTTATTTTCTTGTTGTTGTTATCATCTCGTTGTTGTTATCATCTTGTTGTTGTTATCAGCTTGTTGTTGTTATCATCTTGCTGTTGTTATCATCTTGTTGTTGCTATCATCTTGTTGTTGTTATCATCTTGCTGTTGTTTCAGTCTAGCTCATGTTATTATATAACTCTCTAGAGTAAACACTGTTGACTGCGGAGAGGCTGTCTCTGATTGGCTGAGTAACAACTTTGAGACATCGGGGATTCGAATGTTGCGCCAGCAGAGTGACGACACCAGACAGAGTAAGCTGAAGGACAAGGAGAACATTGGTTCTACAGGTGAGCTTATTATTGGGATACAAGACCTGACTGATGACTCAAGACAGGATTAATGGTACAAGACAAGGTAGTGATACAAGACATATTAATTATACTAGACGGGGTAATGATACAAGAGGGTAAAAAATGCAAGATAGATTATACAAGATAGAATAATGATACAAGATAGACAGAGTAGTAATAATACAGGAAGGACAAAGTAATGATACAGGGCAGAGTAATGATACAAGGCAGAGTAGTAACCCAATGCAGAGTAGTGATACAAGGCAGAGTAGTGACACAAGGCAGAGTAATGACTCACAGCAGAGTAGTGACCCAAGGCAGAGTAATGACACAAGGCAGGGTAGTGACACAAGGCAGAGTAGTGACACAAGGCGGAGTAGTGACACAAGGCGGAGTAGTGACACAAGGCAGAGTAATGACTCACAGCAGAGTAGTGACCCAAGGCAGAGTAATGACACAAGGCAGGGTAGTGACACAAGGCAGAGTAGTGACACAAGGCGGAGTAGTGACACAAGGCGGAGTAGTGACACAAGGCAGAGTAGTGACACAAGGCGGAGTAGTGACACAAGGCGGAGTAGTGACACAAGGCAGAGTAATGACTCACAGCAGAGTAGTGACCCAAGGCAGAGTAATGACACAAGGCAGAGTAGTGACACAAGGCAGGGTAGTGAAACAAGGCGGAGTAGTGACACAAGGCGGAGTAGTGACACAAGGCGGAGTAGTGACACAAGGCGGAGTAGTGACACAAGGCAGAGTAATGACTCACAGCAGAGTAGTGACCCAAGGCAGAGTAATGACACAAGGCAGGGTAGTGACACAAGGCAGAGTAGTGACACAAGGCGGAGTAGTGACACAAGGCGGAGTAGTGACACAAGGCAGAGTAATGACTCACAGCAGAGTAGTGACCCAAGGCAGAGTAATGACACAAGGCAGGGTAGTGACACAAGGCAGAGTAGTGACACAAGGCGGAGTAGTGACACAAGGCGGAGTAGTGACACAAGGCAGAGTAATGACACAAGGCAGAGTAATGACACAAGGCAGAGTAATGACACAAGGCAGAGTAATGACACAAGGCATAGTAGTGACATGGCAGAGTAATGACACAGGGCAGAGTAGTGACACAAACAATGATACCATAAAGAATCAGCACTGTATGTGTCTCTAACTCCGCCTCATGCAATCACTAATAGCAGACTCTAGAGCACATTCATCGCTAATTAACAAGAAGAAATCTGGCTGCCCATAGGAGTAATCCGGCAGGTGGAGACTTCAAACACACCATCCTGTCTGGGACCCATTTTAGAATAGGCAAACAGCAAACTGAAGAAGAGATTGTTGTATGCTACCTTGAGTTAGTTGAGAACTGATATCACAGCACTGAAGACATTTATTCAAGTGCTCTGTCTCCATCTTCAGTAGCATGCATAGACTTCTCTGTCTATTTATTCATTCTCTCTCTGTCTCTCTCTCTTGAATTTTCTTTTTTTTTTTTTTTTTTTTTTTTTTTTGGCTAAGAAAGGTGGAGACAGTTGCTCTATGCCCTATGGCAAGCATCCTTCAGAGGTCCTGGGTACTTTGCATCATTTTGGATAATTTCTCCAGTCCATGCCAGTGTATTCGAAAATGAACAGATTAGATAGGCTAGTTCTTGGCAATAAATTGATGTATGACAAGCTAGTATTTATCAAGACCCTTTGGGAGCAAGGGAAGAGTGCGGAAGTAAAATTAGATCATCACTGTCTGGATAGATGTTGCAGCAGAAAGTGATGAAAGAATATGACCTATAAAGAGTTTTGAAAAAAAAAAGTAAAGGACCCTTTTCCACGCCTTCAGGCATACTGGGCGCATAGGGCTAGACCTATATTTTATAGACCAAATGGCACTTGGTCCATGATGTGGTCAGCATCATACCAACCACCTTTACTTCCCAGGACTGTACCTGGTACCCACTCAAGGCTGGGTCGACGTGGGAGCCAAGGTAATTTTTTTTTTTTAAGTTTGGGCCCGTCAGGACCCGAAGCCACGACCTTCTTATCCCCAGGCGAGGGTGTAGCTGCTAGGCCACAGCCGCTTCCAGTATGACCTATACTCAGCACTCAAAGGAAGGACAAGACAGCATACAATCAGACTGACTGCTGAAGATGGGGATTAACAAATGTCTTGAATGCTGTGATCTGGGTTCTTTACTCAACTGAAGTCAACTTTCATGATTGAGTATACAACAGTGAGCTGTAATTCTTGTGTGAGACTGTTAATGTTGGCATGTCTGGCAGCTGTCTTATGCATTTTTACTTTTCATGTGAAAGCTACAGGTTGTTGTTGGGACTGACAAGTTTTTCGCTAGTTTTCAAATTGGTCAGTGAAGAACATTTTGTATGATTTCTGCTTGCACAGGAACAGAGCAGTGATGGTGGAACCTCGACAAGACTCAGCTCAGTTACTCATTCTCCATGGTGAAGTGGTCAAGCCACTTGCCTCGTGCTCTGAAGGTCATGGGTTTGTTTCATGCCTGTGTCGTTCGGTTCATGAGTGCAATTTTTATGGAGATCACTGGGGATTGTTGCTGGAGCTATGGAGTTCATGCTCTTTGCGATGCTCTAGGCAGGCAGCTAGCCATTTTGTGGAGAGAGACCGAGCCATATGGGATCAAATCTGGTGCAGTGAAGTCAGTACTGTCAACTATAACCTTTTAACCTTTAACCCATTCTTAAATTTTATCTGCAGAGTTAGATAAACCAAAACTGTCAATGGCAAACGAGTCTCAGCTGGTGCTGCTGAGCCGAGCTAGTGTGAGGGAGCTGCAGAAGAAGATGGTTGAGATCATAGATGTGAATGATACTGAAGATACCAATGTGTCTACGGCTCCAGCAGACATCTGTAAGTGATTCTTTTAGCTGTTTCTGAAGGTATTCTGCTTCTTTTTCTTTTTGCCCTTCATTGGCTGCATGCTCTGAAGAAAATTTCTGGCTGTCGTCCACCTCTATACTTTAATATTGGTCCGGAACTTGAGTTTTGCATGCACATCCATGTTACAAATCTAGCTTATTTGCATGCACACTCTTGGTTTCTTGCCTCCCAGCAGAAGCACTGTGACTTCGGTGGAAGAAGGTATTCAATTTCTTCTTCTTTTTCTTCTTCTGTATACAGACTCTTAGTTTCTAGCCTCTGAGCAGATAAACTCTGACTTCAAAGGAGAAAGATATTCAATTTCTTTTTCCTCTTCGTCTTCTTCTTTTTCATTTTTGTTTTTTTATTAATTAAATTTTCTCTTTAACAACTTTGACAGTCGAGGGAGATATAATGTTCTGTTTCTCACTCTTCTGGCTGCCTCGACCATAGACACATTGTACTGTTGTAGAACAACAATTTGGAACCTGTGCTCTGCGGAGCCCTTAGAGGACCACCTACACTTCCTAGGTACTGCGTAACCACTGCAGGAAAAAAAATGAATATCTACTCTTTGTTTCTCCATTCAGTAACATAACTTCTAGGCACTATTAACTTGGGCCAAACGTGATGCTGACCACATCACCCATCTTGTGCCGATTGGTCTATACAAATATAGGTCTAGCCCTATATGCCCTATACGCTCAAAGGCATGGAAAAGGTTGGTTTTTTTTTACTTTACTTACTATTAACTTGCAAGACAACAGATACAGTAGCCTAAGAAATTGGTTCTAAAAGAAGGTTGAGACACTTTGTTGCTGAGTTTCTCTGATGTTGTCTTTCCATCTTGTTCTTGGTCTGCCTCGTAGTCTACAGCCTCTGCTCTTTTGCAGTATGCCTTGTAAGATATGATATATCCCAAGGCATTCTCTCTAGTGTTCACCATTTGAAAGTAAAAAGGAAAGTAAAGGACCCTTTTCCATACCTTCAGGCATATAGGGCTAGATCTTTATTTTATAGACCAATCAGCACTCAGTGGGTGATGTAGTCAGCATCACACCGGCCACATTTACTTCCCATGACTTTACCTGAAAGATATTTAAGTGGGTTGACCTTAGATCCAAGGTCATTTTCTTTTAAAGTCTGGCTCCATCAGGACCTGAACCTATGACCTTCCGATCGGCAGGCAGGTATCTGGCCACTACACCACAGTGACTCTTGTTCACCATTTTATTCAGTGTAAAGTAAGTCATGACACTTTTCATGCCATTACTGCGTTGGGCATCTGGTGTTAAGCCTCTATTTTTATAGTCCAGTCGATAATTCTTCAGTGATGCAGTTGGCATCGTGCCGACTGCCTTTACTTTCTGGGACATTTCCTTCTACCCTGTTTTAGACTAGTTGAATTTTAGATGCTTAATTTAAAAAAAAATTTTAATTCCAGTTTTTGTTTCTTTAGCTCTTTTACATTGAAAAAGTTGTGCATTTTGTGTGTGTGTGTTTCAGCCGAGGATAAATTAGTACTTCGCTTCCGTGGCAACCTGGTGATAGATGGTGGTAAATCCTTTGAAGAGGAGGAATGGTCTTCTATCCAAGTGGGACAGAACACTGTTGTGGTCAGTTGTTGTTTTTTTTTGCGGCGGGGGGGGGGGGGGGGGGGGGGGGGGGGGGGGGGGGGGGGTACTTTATTTTAACATGTTACCCACATTCGTTCTGCTGCGTGGTCTCGAGGCATGGTGTCCGCCTTGAGTGCTAGAGGTTGCGGGTTCAAATCCGGGTAAGGGCTGGGATTTTTGCACGTGGACTTGGACTTCTAGTAATTCCCCCTGGTTTCTTGGTAGTGAGATCGGACACCAGTGTGCATTGTTGCGCACGTAAGAAATCCCTTGGCAGTTGGAAATAAAAAAGAGTAGCCTAACGGGGCTGCCTGGGAAAACTTTGGAGTTAAAAATCTACCCAAAGTATTTCAGGATCTTTGCCAGCGCTACAGAGCCTGTGCACTGTGCTGAGCTTCTTCGGACTCATACTAGAGTTAGAAGACGACTGGAGCACTTATTTATGGGTTACTATCTGTGTGCCATGATGTTGATCCATTGTTCAAAACTTCAGACCTCAACGCGGCACCCCTGGCTCAGGCATTGCGAGTCCGACTCGTGATTCTAACGTACCGCGATCGAAACCCACTGCTAGCTGCGTGAATTTTTATCATGATATGGGGCGTCACAGGTCGACCCAGCCTGAATGGGTACCAGGATGTATGTCCTGGAAAAGTAAAGACGGCCGGCATAATGCTGACCATATTACCCACCTAGTGTTGATTGGTCTGTAAATATATGGGTGCTCTTCCCATATGCCCGATTCGCCTACAGGCGTGAAAAGAGATCTTTACTTTTTTTTTTTCACTTACAGGGCTAAGAACGCCAAAAATATGGATGAAGTCACCCCCTATTTACACAAAACAAGATGCTAACTAGCCTTTTGAGGGCAATCACAGAAGAACAGGAAGGTGACAGCTGGCAAGCATGATGGAAAGATAAGACGGGGATGACAGAAAGATAATACATGGATGGCTTGACTACGTGGATGGCGCAGGATATGGGCACCCATCTGAAATTCTAAAAGATCTGAACATCAAAGAAAGATTGGCTAATAAACAGCATCTTGTCTCAGAAGCTCAAACATTTTGGTAATTTCAAGCACCATGGCGGATTTGAAACAATAATAGCAGAAATCATGGTACCAGGAAGGAAGGACAAGGGCCGACTAACATGAAGATGGGCAATGGATATACAAGATTTCTTGAATATGAAAGTGCATGCGGCGGGAGAGCTGGCGAGAGACTGAGTTTCCTTCAGGCATGATGAGAGCGATGTTCTGCAAAGGACCTGCTACATGATGACTGTTACATGATGACTGCTACATGATGACTGCTACATGATGACTGCTACATGATGACTGCTACATGATGACTGCTACATGATGACTGCTACATGATGACTGCTACATGATGACTGCTACATGATGACTGCTACATGATGACTGCTACATGATGACTGCTACATGATGACTGCTACATGATGACTGCTACATGATGACTGCTACATGATGACTGTTACATGATGACTGTTACATGATGACTGCTACATGATGACTGTTACATGATGACTGCTACATGATGACTGCTACATGATGACTGCTACATGATGACTGCTACATGATGACTGCTACATGATGACTGCTACATGATGACTGCTACATGATGACTGCTACATGACAATGACAATGCATCATTGATACCTGTAAGATAAAAACTGACCGCAATGTTTACTTTGTCTCTCTTAGTGCCAGGGGGCCTGTTCTAGATGTCAGATGATCTGCATGGATCAGGAGACTGGACAGAAGAGCAGAGAGCCTCTTAGGACCTTGGGAGTTTGGCGAGGCAAAAAGGTATAATTCTGTTCTCTCTCTCTCTCTCTCTCTATCCTTCTCTCTCTCTCTCTCAAACACACACACACACACACTTCTTTTGTTCAGGCAGATGCAATCCACTTCAACATGGTATAATTATGTTCACTCTTTGGCACTTTTTGTTCTCTTTCTCTCTCTCTCTCTCTCTCTCTCTCTGTCTCACTCTCTCTCTCACTCTCTCTATCCTTCTCTCTCTCTCTCTCTCAAAACACACACACACACACCTTCTTTTGTTCAGGCAGATGCAATCCACTTCAACATCACTTTGGCACCTTTATTTCCCAGGACATCGTGGTCTGGATTGAGCTGTTGATCGGTAATCGTGGGGAATATCCAGCCACACGTGGGGAATAGCTTGGAACACTTGGGGTTTAGTGGTTCTTCTTTTGTTCGCTTGAAATAGATCATCTATATTTACAACGTTGTCTCTTGTATGGACTTCACTGTCTGTTATGATTCATTCTGCAACCTATAAAGTTTGGCTTGCCCCAGTGTTTCTCTTGGCCAAAAGTTTTGCCTTGATATGTTGTGTTTGGGACAGTCTTGGAGTACATGATCTGTTGTCTCAGGTGCCAGTCCACATGTACACATGGCTGATTCACCAATCTTAATTCGGTGTACATGTGGCTACAAAGTTGATTGTGTCCTGTTCTAAGGTGTAGAATAATTACTTGCTCTAGTCTATCCATAATATGGTAATTGAACAACAATTGAAGTGGTTTGGACACCTGATAAGAATGCTGTGATACTATCTGCCACAGCGAGCCACACTAAAACGTTAAACAGATATAGAGAGAGTGGAAGACCTCGGAAAATATGGAGTGATGGCATTAAGAACAGCCTTACGGAAATGTACATTAGTCTTAACAGTGCTCTTGACAGAGCTCATCAACTAATGTTACATTTCCCCCCAACACTTCGATGAGGTACAAGGTAAAAGAGACAAAGAAGAAGAAGAAGAAGGTAATCATCTTGTGAGTTAAGTGACACATAACTCTGTATTCTTTGCCTTAGGTTCCTTTTGGTGTTCACGCCAGAATGCTGCCTCCAACCGATGGATCCAGGCAGTTCCTACGTGTCGGAGATATTGTCCTTGTCAAACAGTAACCTGACATCAAGAAAGGCAAAAGGTTTTTTTTGTTACTAAGCACACATGTTTATATTCCTATTGTTACTAGCTAATGTACCAGCAGATAGACACATTCAGACCCTGGAGTTGTAGGTATATAGAGGAAGACATTTTACAATTGAAATGTGAGTTTTAATTGAAGTGTATTTTTCTGTATTCTTACCAACGCTATGCTGTCAGTGTGAAACATAAACATTGTCGTCAGAAGACAAGAGAAAAATAATAATGACAGAAATCAAATGTTTACATGTCATCCTCGGTGTGACAAGGAAAGATTGACTTAGGAACAATGCTATCAGGAGGAGAGTCGATGCAGAACTTTATAGGCAGACAACAGATCAAATGGTTTGGTCATGTAACAAAACTGGCAGCAGACAGGGTACCACAGAGAGCAATGTTATACACCTACAGAGGTAACAGCCAGCAGCTGAACATGCAAAAGATGTACCTGGGAAATATAGGAGACATGATAAAAGTACTATATGCGAAGCGAACAGGAGGGCGCATCCAGGGGTCAAAATTAAGTACAGTGCACACCGCTTAAGGTGATCTAGAATATGGTGAATTTCTGTTGTGAAGAACAGTTTGTTTTTCCCCTGCAATTTTTCTTGCTGGATTTCTTATTAGGATAAGAGGAATTTCTGATAAGAACCATTTCCTGGGTTCTTGGTGAGTTCTCCTTATCAGGTCTGCACTGTACTACTTTTCACACAACTGCTTTCTCAGAGAGAGCTTATTGTTCAACCATGATTTTCTTTCTCAAAACAAGGATTTTGATTTTGGGTAACTTTAGTGAATCAAGAACTGACGTCACTGCAATTTGGATATTCCCACATGTGCTCTGTCCCCTTCTTCAGTAACCGACAAAGAGTTGTCATGTCAGTTTCAACCAGATTAAAAGTCCACCTCTGTTTCTCCTCAGTGTTAAATATCTTCCAGAGCCTCTACATGCACCCAGCTAAATTAGACTTTCAGGGTTTGGCTGGGGCCGCGCTAGTGCAGTTGATAGGAGACTTGCTTTCAAATCCAGCTGCGACTCGCTGCAGCCCACGCCGGTGTTCGAAATCGGGCCTCCAGCCCCTAGGAAATGGGTAAATGGAAGAACGTCACTGTAGCTACAGAGTTTCATGCGGACGGCCACACAGGCGGACTGTTTCTTATCAGCTGTCCATACTGGTGGCAAAGCACTTATGGTTTATAACCGTGTGAAGTTACGCTAGTTCACATCTCCCGACTTTTTTTTTTAGTGTATTGCTTCTCTATCTGTTTTGTTGCACTGTCCATTTGATCCCGTAGAGTGTTCACCGCATTGCTTTATGATAAAGTAGCTCACTGCCCAGACGAATGGCAGCAGCTAATCTGTCAGCCTGCTTGTTACCTGGCACACTTGAATGTCCTGGACAGAAAAGCTGTGATATGCTCCTGATTCGGGTCTTGTCAAGTGATGCAAGCCACTCTGCACGCAGGATACCGGTTTTAGTTTTCCGAAGCATGCTCTTAGAGTCTGTTACAATCACAACATGTTAAGCTGTGCTGCTCTCAAGCTTTTGGAAAGATGCAACTTTGCTGTAGTGCCAACTATATAACATAGAAAAACAAAAAACGGTACAGAGATTCAAAACACATTTGTTTTTCCCGTTTTAGGTTTAAATAATGCAAACACAAACAATACAATGCAGAGTTTATTGCCAGGCATATTTTGTTGTATCTTGCCAGGTACTTGGCTACAGAGCTTCATCATCAAATATAATGAAGCACAAAATGTGTATTATTTTTACTGAAATGCACAGATCCAAATGTCCCCTCTTGGACTGGCTCTCAATGAAAAGAGTTGTTGAAAGAATTTATTTATTTTTTAAAACAAAAAAACAAAAATGAAATATTCTGATGACATTGAAAGACATAACTCCCTGTGTGGGTTCTAGGGTCCATTTGTGGTGGAGAAAAAAATGATAGACCCACTGCCTCCCCAACAAGCATGTCATAAGAGTTGACTTATTGGGAGCTTCCTTCGAAGCTGAAGTAAATCTGCCTGGAGGCAAAGAACCAATAATCTACATACAAATAAGTTGGATCTGTTTAACGGATGTGCACACAACATGCAAGTACTGGAACAAGACTAAAGTCCTGATGTGGATGAACAACCAGAACTTTCCATCGGAGTTTTAGAGTAGGTGAACACAAAGAAAATGAAAGATATAACACTCTTATAAAAGCCAGACTAGAGGGAATAGTTAAAGGTAAGCAAGCAAGACAGCGAAACAAGTAGGAGCATAAAACTCAGAGGTGGATTAACAGTATTCTGAGAGAGTGTACAAGCTAGGCATTGGAGATCTATCGCAGCCAACCTTCATTGCAAAGATGGCATCTGATTGATTGATTGATTGAATGATTGTTGCTAATTATTTTTATACTTTGGCTGTGAGAACAAGATTTTTATAATTTATTTCTATTGTTGCTAGACAATTTACTTGTCATTATTGGAATTCCCCGTGTGGGTTCTGAGGCCACATTGTGGGGAAAACAAAAACAGACCCACTGCCTGTCAAACAAGCATGTCATAAGAGGCTTTCTTTGAAGTCAGAGTTCATCTGTCTGAGAGGCAGGGAACCAAAAATCTGCATACAGTTAAGTCGGATCTGTTAAACAGATGTGCACGCAACACTCAGGTTCCGGAACAAGACTAAAGTCCAGAGGCAAACAAACAACCAGAAGTTTCCATCGGAGTTTACAGCCGGTGAAAGCGAAGAAGAATAAAATTATGGGAATAATATTTTGATAATGCATTTTTATTTTTAACTTATTATTCCCTACATGTTGCTTGCTGTGTGAACAAGTTATTGATAAATGCTAATGATTTTTTTTTTTTTTTTTTTTTTTTACCATTAAGACATAAACAAGACAGTGTTTAGATTTATGTCGACATTTCTCTAATAAAAAGTTATAAAATTATACAATTCTATTTTTACTTAAATTATTATTCTAAAAGTCTACCCACAAAAATGATAATTTGATCAATGCTCTGTGAGTTATTGCTATGAATGTTCGATGAGCTTTTGATTCAGTTTATTAAATAAATTGTTTAACTTAAGATCCTGTGTTTTTTCATGGGTGATATCCTGTTTAACCCTTGTGGGCCATGACTGAGATATGTAATGTCTATAATTATGTAAAGTAATGATTGTAATGTTAATCTATCCATGTCTTTCGAGATATTAAAATTAATTGTCTGTTCTTTATAGGATGTTGCAGAACCAATCACAGCAATTTTTCGGGCAGCTTTAATTATTTTGCTAGGCAGTTTTACATTCAGTAAGTAGTTTGTCATTGCTTTCAAATCACGGGGAGGTGATGTATCATTTTCGAAATCAATGCAAGGCGATCAGCTATCAGATCACCTTCAGCTGCAACTGAACTGGGTTTTCAGAATTACGAAGCGTGTTCATAATGCATAAGCCACAGATGCTGATATGTATCTTAAGTTCTCCTAAGGGCAGTCAGTCACTTAGTGAAGATTATGGGGAATTATATTGTATTTGATTCCAATGTTTTCTATAAAAGTATGTTCAGCCTCATTTCGTGGGAAAAGATCTCAGTGATAAATTATAAACAGTATACAAGATAGAAGGGAGTCGCTGTGGTGAAGTGGCTAGACCCTCGCTCTCCTGCGGATCGAAGGGTCATCTGTTTGGGTCCTGACGGAGTTGGATTTTTTTTCTTTTCAAATATGACCTTGGCTCTCTGGTCAACCCAGCCTTGAGTGGGTACCAGGTGCTGCCCTGGGAAGTAAAGGCTTGTGGCGTGATGCTGACCAAATACCCCCCCCCCCTCCCCCAGTGCCGATTGGTCTATAAAAAATAAAGATCTAGCCCTATGTGCTCAATATGCCTAAAGGCCTGGAGAAGGGTCCTTTACTTTACTATAAAAGACAGAAGGCTGTGACTAAAACATGATTGTTAACCCCATGGAGTATGAAGTCTAAAAAGTAAATCTTTATAGTTCTTTAAAAAAATGAACAGTATACAAGACGGAAGGCTTAAAACAAAACATGATTATTAACACCATATGGTATGGGCTGTAAGAAGTTACTCCCTGAAGTATATCCTTTAAGTTTTGCATGCACATCCACTTTACACATTTCACTTATTTATATGCAGACTGTTGGTTCCTTGCCTCTCAGGCAGATGCAGTCCAACTTCAAAGGAACATCCAAATTGGTTGACTTCTATGTCGTGCTTGTTGGAGAGGCAGTTTGTCTTTTCTTGTTTTCCCCACAATAGGGCCCTGGAACCCACACAGGCGGCATGGAAATTAAGGTTGACAAGAGCAAGATACTGGTATCAGGCAGCTATGAAAATACAAATAAAAAGAGGACATCTAGGTAAAACCTCTAACTACCTCGGCTCCCACATAAGTAATGATGGCAGCTGTACCAAAGAGATCAGGACAAGACTTGATATGGCAACAGCTGTCATTTTCCAGCTGAATATGATGTAGAAGAGCAAAATCGTAGTAAAGGTCAATATTTATAAATCACTGGTATTGTCTGTTTCCTTACATGAATGTGAGAGTTGGACTCTCACTGTGCAAACAGAAAGGAGGATTCATGCTTTTGAACATAAATTCTGTAGATGAAGTTTGTGAAATAGTTAATGGTAATGGTAATCTTAGTTTTAGCTTCATAGCAGACGGGTCACCCCATAGTTGCTCCGCTCCTGTGTCAATAAAAAACACACATAATGTTTATCACAGTTCCTTGTGGAGAGATTGACAGTGTTCTCAGCATATGCACTAGCGTACACACGAATTAAAAGCATATGGTAGCCATCAAAAGTGCTAAAACAAACAGTCTGATATTAGAAATAGTTATTTTGGTACATAATACTAACAGATGTGAAGGAGACAAAATCAACAAATGTGCAGAACCTCAGGAGCCTTTTCTAGTAGTGGTGAGATGTCGCAGGCTACGAGTAGTTTG